TATTAATTGGTACTGGTTTAAATCACATATCCTTAAAACCACAATATAAGTTTAATTATTACTCAATTTTGAGGGTAAACACCCTTCATATTCGAAGCACCGTCTGTGAAAAGGGTCCATACCCCCGATGATGTACCCGATTTTAACAAGAGTTCCTTTTTAACTTCGGATACGAGGGTTGGCGTGAAATCGGCCACGAAGTCCGCTAAAATTTGAGACTCGATGGCCGTCCGAGGTTGATATTCCATATTGTACCCACTGAGTTCGACGACCCATTTGGCCAATCGGCTCGATAGTTTGGGTTTATGCAAAATATTACGAAGTGGGTAAGTGGTTAATACGCATATAGGGTAGCATTGAAAGTATGGTCTTAACTTTCTAGAGGCGCTTATCAATGCAAGTGCCAATTTCTCCAAATGTGGATATCTAGTTTCTACTTCTCCTAAGGTTCGACTTACATAATAAACGGGAAATTGCGTACCTTGCTCTTCCCAAACTAGGACACCACTTACCACGATTTCCGATACTGCCAAGTACAAGAAAAGTTTTTCATCTGTCTTTGGAGTGTGAAGTAGTGGTGGGCTCGATAAGCACCACTTCAATTCCTCTAATGCCTATTGGAATTCCGGGGTCCAGGCGAAATCGTTCTTCTTTTTGAGCAGAGAGAAAAATCTGTGACTTCGATCCGATGACCTCGAAATGAATCGGCCTAAGGCAGCTATCCGTGCAGTCAGCCTCTGCACGGCTTTTTAACTGTTCACGACGGTGATGTCTTCGATGACCTTGATTTTATCGCGGTTGAACTCGATACCCCGATTCGATACCATGAAGCTAAGGAACTTGCCCGAACCGACCCCGAAAGCACATTTCTCGGGGTTGAGCTTCATGTTGTATTTCCTTACAATCTCGAATGTTTCCTGCAAATGAGCCAAATAGTCCTCTGCACGCAGGGACTTAACTAGCATGTCATCAATATAAACTTCCATTGATTTACCTATTTGTTCTTCGAACATTTTATTTACTAGGCGTTGGTAAGTAGCTCCTACATGTTTTAGCCCGACGTGAATTACATTATAACAATATGTTCCATACTTGGTGATAAATGAAGTCTTTTCTCGATCCTCCGGGTTCATTTGGATTTGATTGTACCCGGAATAAGCATTGAGAAAAGTAAGGATCTAGTGGCCGGCTGTGGCATCGATCATACGATCGATGTTAGGAAGTGGGAAATAATCTTTGGGGCACGCCTTATTTAAATCCTTATAATCTACACACATTCTAAGTTTGTTCCCTTTTTTAGGGACTACAACTACATTGGCTAATCATTCGAGATATTTCACCTCCCGAATGGACCCTATTTTGAGAAGTTTAGTTACCTCATCCGTTATGAATGCGTGCTTTACCTCGGTCTGGGGTCTTCTCTTTTGCTTCACCGGTTTGAACCTAGGGTCCATGCTTAGTCGATGCATCGTTATCTCCAGTGGGATCCCTGTCATGTCTAAATGGGACCAAGAAAAATAATCTATGTTATCAATAAGAAATTGAATAAGCTTTTTCCTGAGTTCAGGGTTTAATCCCATTCCCAGGTATATCTTTCGCTCAGGTAGGTACTTGATCAATATAACCTGTTCCAGCTCTTCGACCGTTGATTTGGTGGCGTCAGAATCTTCGGGAACAATAAAAGTTCGAGGGGTCAGAAAATCCTCCTCTTCTTCTTCTATCTCCAGCTTCCCTGATTCGGTCGAGGCTGGTGGCTGTGATTGCTATTTGACTTCCTGTTTACTTTTGATGCTCGACCTTTCTAAGGTTGATAGTGTCGATACTGGCATTACCTCATCGGCTGCAAACATTTCCTTTACAGCATGTTGCTCCCCGTATACTGGTTTACACCGGCCGACGTCAGAAATTTCATCATTTGGTGGAGAGTCGAAGGGACTGCCCTCATATTGTGGATCCAAGGCCTTCCGAGTAGGACATTGTACCTCATGTCGCCCTCGATTACGTGGAACTTGGTATCTTGAATGGTTTCAGCCACGTTCACCAGTAGAATAATCTCCCCTTTAGGTGTTTCACTAGCCATATTGAAGCCGTTTAAGACCCGAGTTGCGGGCACGATTTGATTTTGTAGGCCGAGCTGCTCCACGATCCTCAATCGGATGATATTCGCCGAGCTACCTCAATCTACTAAAACACGCTTAACTTGAACTTTATTTAACAAGATAGAAATTACCAGAGCGTCGTTGTGGGGCTGAGAAATGCCTTCTACTTCTTCGTCGTTGAATGATAAAGTGCCTTCAGGCACATAATCTTGGGTTCGATTTCCCCTAGTGATTGATACCTTAGTGCGTTTGAATATGGGTCCCTGTGGGGTGTCGACCCCACCGACGATCATATGAATAATATGTTGGGGTTTCTCCTGTTAATTTTTCCTATTGGCATCCCTTTCTCTGAAATGATTCTTGGCTCGATCGTTGAGGAACTCTCGAAGATGGCCCTCATTAAATAGACGGGCTACTTTCTCCCTTAATTGCCTGCAATCCTCGGTCTTGTGACCATGCGTGCCATGATACTTGCACATCAAATTTGGATTTCTTTGGGAAGGATCGGTTTGTATGGGTCTGGGCCACCTAGTATCTTTGATCCTTCTGATTGCCGATACAATGCCCGATGTATCGATGCTAAAGTTATATTCCGATAACCGAGGAGCCTTTATGGGATCGGCATACTTGTCAAAACCACTTTTGCTCATAAGTCCCCGAGAATTCTATCCTCGATCACTTCTTCGATCGCTCCGGGCGGAATTGCGTCCTGAATCATTGTTCCTTCGATCTGCGATATATGGTTGATATTGGTATCTGTTCGATCTTGGATCCCTGTCGACGTCCCTCTGGTTTTTAACTGCCGACCTGTTAGTATGTACTGAACTGGAAGGGGTTCCTAATTGGTCGTCCTCGACCCTGATCTTCGATTGATATCGATTATGCATATCTGCCCAAGTTACAACTGGATACTCGATCAAATTTTGTTTCAATTGTCGTGATGCTATCGAACTCCGCTCGTTCAACCCTTGGGTGAAAGCTTGAACGGCCCAATCATCTGTGACCGGTGACAACTCCATGCGTTCCATTTGAAATCGGGATACAAACTCCCTCAACATTTCATTATCCCGTTGTCTTACTTTGAAAAGGTCTGATTTCCTCGTTGGACCTTTATGGCCCCGACATGTGCCTTTACGAAAGAATCTGCTAACATGGCAAACGAGCCGATAGAATTTGGTGGCAGGTTGTGATACCAAATCATTGCTCCATTCGAAAGGGTCTCTCAGAATTTTTTCAACAGCACAGATTCGATTTCATCATCTTCTAAATCGTTACCCTTGATGGTGCATGTATACGAAGTAACATGCTCGTTGGGATCGGTGGTCCCATTATATTTGGGTATGTCTGGCATACGAAACTTCTTTGGAATAGGCTTCTGAGACGCACTTAGAGGAAACAGCTTTTGTACAAACTTCTTCGAATCCACCCCTTTCAAGATTGGCGGTGCCCCCGGTATTTGGTCAACTCGAGAGTTGTATGTCTCCATTTTTTTATCGTTGGCTTCGATTCTCTTCTCTCCCAATTCAATTCTTTTGGTGAGTTCCTCGAGCATTTTCATTACCGTAGGATCATTCCCCGATTCGTTACCATTCGACCTTTCCGGTACTGGCTCGGTACGACGAGTAATTTCCGGCTCGACCCTATTCAGAGCTCTATGTTGATTTTGTAACTGAGCAATAGTGACTTGCTGAGCCTGAAGTATCTCGAATATCACTTGGAGACTGACTCCTTCGTCTCCTCTACCCTGTGTTCCTTGGTTACTAGATCGGCCTTCTTTGTGTACGCTCCCCTCGAGATCTGCGCCTAGGTCCGCATTTAGAGCAACGTGCGAACTGACATCGACTGGGTTGGCAACCGATGCTCCCCCGAAAATAGCCTATGGCACCTCGACCCCTGGAGCAATCACATTTTCGTTTTCACCGTGGAATCCGAGGCCATTGTCACCGTGTGTGGATGCGTTTTGTGAGTTTGACATATTTTAACCTGAAAGCAAAGATACTTGACAAGAACAAGCGTAAAATAGTGCGTTTTACCAAAATCAGTATTCAACAATCACTATTATCCTTAGCCCCACGGTGGGCGCCAAACTGTTTACCCTTAAAATTGAGTAACAATTAAACTTATATTGTGGTTTTAAGGATATGTGATTTAAACTAGTACCAATTGATAAACAACGAATTAAATAGATAAATTGGACAGTAAAATAAATCAAACCGGTCTACAAACAATGCCTCGACCTTGATTCGAGATAGTCTCGAGGTTAGTTAATAAGAACAGTAGAGGATGGAACAAGCAGTGATGAACAGTAAGTAAGACAAAGAAAGCAGCGTATATGTATTATTTTTCAGTGGATCATGATACCTTACAAATGATTGGAACACCTCTTTATATAGTAGAGGAAACCTAATTATGGCATGTCTCTAATTTTAGAAGGAAATCGTATAAACAGCTAGTTAACCGCTTTTGATTTGGTCCGTTCCGAGATTCACGCCATGATCCTCGACCAATCACGAATATTCGTCCCGAGATTTACGTCGTGATCTTCGACCGGTTACTGATATCTCGCAATTCTGTTATTATGCTTCCCTCAAAATTGGTCATACTTGGTCTCGATTGTTGTTGGTTTTGGTCTCAACGTACACTTCGATCTCTAGGCTCGATGTCTTATCTTCGAACTCAGGTCTGATTTATTACGAGGTTACATCGATGCAACTCCCTTGCCTCAATCAAACAGCAAAATCGGATAGGCCCGATTTTTACCGTATATATGTGGTTAAATTTGTAAATTGATTTTTAACTTTGGTGCTTCCCACTTTGAATTCATCCAACTCCTTTTGGAGGACACTCCACAAATGCTTGCCGTGTGGGTTCCGACTACCATTTCCAAATTCACTCAACACGCTTAAGAAAAGCCATAACCCCCCACCCCTACTCCCGAAAACCAATCCCAACCTAACCGGGTCGACCCGTTACCTTCCAAATCGTCTTCTTCTCTTTCCTCTCCCCTTCCTTGATACTTCCCATAAATTCATTGCCTTACAACCAAATTCAATCATGATAATCTCGAGTTGAATCAAATTTCCTCTAGAATCATATACCTTCGAGTTGATCATTGATCAACCGTCTACTCTAATCCCAACTTCTAATTAACAGGTACTGCGACGTAGGCATCATCATCTTGTTATTTCATTTCAGGTCAGGAATTCATTCTTTCTCAGAGCTTTTAATTATAAATATCAATTACTTCTTGGTGTTTTAATTGCAGAATAAAGCAGGTTTCGCCGTTGTCTGTTGTATAAGCAAAGATGTTTTCGAAGATATTTGGGAAACCCAAGCAGGAAACTAATGCTCTTGCGACTCTTGACAAATTAAACGAGGTATAATAATCGCTATTTGCCCATTAATTATATTAACTGTAACTATTGAAATCAATAGTGGAAAAAGAATGTCAGTTGCTTTTGTTTGAACGCAGATCAATGGAATAATTGATCCCAGGAAAAATTCCTAGGGTTCGGCTGTGAATTTATTGATACTGCTAAACTCTTTTAAGTCTTATACAGCTGACTTCATTTATTTGCATAAAGTACACCGACTAGCTTTGGGCAAACATTGTATTTGTGTTAAAAAAATTCATTTAATATGTATAAATAATTTATCAAGAACCCAGGGAACAAAAATAATTGTTGTCTAGAACCCCTAAACTAAATATCCTAGCTCCGCCTCTGCGTGTAGGTGATACTGACTAGTTGGGATTAAACTAGTTTTCAGTGTAGTGATAAATGTGAGATTTATAGATAACCCTAACTTGCTTAGAATACGAATTATTTAGCATTGGAATCGAATTGACCTGCACATAGCGGAATGGATATAGAGGAATTGTATAGCTAAGTCTCCAAGGGGATGTCCTAGTGGTTGAGACATACAACTTGGAAATCCCGTGTTTGACTTGCCTATAACACTTGGTAATTGGTATTAGGCCATCTAGCATGATTACCTTGAGAAAGAGAAACTGTGTTTGTGGCTACCTGATGGATTAAGCGAGCTGTGCACCCTGATTCGGATACCACCTATATTTTTAAAGAGAGGACTGATTTAACCGATCCTGAATTTGGTGTACTAAGGCATATTGATTGCTTGATTGTAAAGCTATCTTCAAAATCGATGGTTGATGGCCATTTAGAGGGGCATATCTTACTATCTTTCAAATTGTCGCCTGACATTTAACTAGGTACGAGGATTGTCATTAGTGTCATGAGGATGTATATCTAAGAGGTAGCCTATCAAGGATGATCTTCCTTTTTACTGGTTTCATTTTTCAATACATTTGCTTCTCGTCATTCTTCTCATTAGGACGTTGGGGAATGTAGTTATGTGCTGCTCTCTTGCGAAATTGCAGTCCTTGTTCTTTTTACTGTTGGTGCCTCAGGAGGAATTCCCATTAGGTTGACAATTTCGTTCCACATTCGTTGGGCATATTACATGGGCTGTTTTATTTATTAGGTAATTTATTTTATTGGATAGCATTATAGGATTGGATCTCTATTACCAATGAGAATTGCTCTGTTAGGTAGTCATAGGTGATACGGAGAAAAGTGGTGGTTGAACTCTGTGCTTGTTAGGGAGCATTATTTACCCTGTTTGTTTACACACAATTGTAAAATTTTATACAGGTCAAATGGATTGTTTTTCCTGCTTTGTGGATGATTTGTCCATTGCAAGCAGGTGCATATATTTTGAATTTTTTTGTTTTTCATTTGTCCAGACTCTGGAGATGCTTGAGAAGAAGGAGAAAGTGCTTCAGAAGAAGGCTTCTGCAGAGGTTGAGAAGGCCAAAGATTTTACAAGAGCAAAGAACAAAAGAGGTATGGATGAATCTTTTGTGCTTTCATGGAAATTTTAATTTTCTAGATCCTGTTTTGCTTATGTCATGTGGACTTTGTATTAGATAATACTCTTATTGCTCCGTTATATCTTGCTTCATATTTAGATAGGTATAATGGGTTAGTTTGTTAGTCACTGGCTTTGTAGATACTTGTTGCACTTCGTGACTGGATGCTGCACCTGAATGGCTCTACATACTTGCTCTTTTAGTTGCATATCACTTTGTTTGCCCCCTTTGAATTATCTAGTATGTGATAACACAGTTTAAAGAGCATAGGAAGTTCTCTAGATCTGTTATCTCTTGATATTTCTTACCTTCTTTTCTCAACTGAAGAGAATTTACGTGATTCTTGCTGCTGGCCTACATGAGTAATTGTCATTTATGATGCAGCGGCAATACAATGTTTGAAGAGGAAGAGGCTCTATGAACAACAAATTGAGCAGCTTGGCAATTTCCAGCTTCGCATCCATGATCAGGTTTGCTTGTTAATTAGTAACCTTTGTTTAATGTTCCATGAAATATTGGTCATACACCTATTCACTTGTCAAACTTTCAATTTCTAGATGATAATGCTAGAAGGTGCAAAAGCTACAACTGAAACTGTTGATGCTTTGAGAACTGGAGCATCCGCAATGAAAGCAATGCAGAAAGCAACGTAAGTAACAAAGTTGCTCTATTTAGTTATATCCTCAAATTACTAAAGCACATGTATCCTATTTGTTTTTATCATTTGTTTTTATCCTATTCTTTATTCATATGATGTCTGGAGTATATTTGGGTTATTGGTATGGTTCTTTTCTCCTTTCTCTGATTAAAGATTGCATTGTATTGGCAGGAATATTGATGATGTGGACAAGACAATGGATGAAATAAATGAACAGACTGAGAATATGAAACAAATACAGGAGGCTTTGGCTACTCCAATTGGTGCAGCAGCTGATTTTGATGAGGTTCCCGATCTATCACTTGATTATGCTTCCCTATGAGCTCTATGGCATTCTTTGTTGGACAGTCTATATTCTATGCTAGAGTACTTTGTCAACGTAAAATGCTTATGCATTTCTGCTATTTCTGCTGTTGCAGGATGAATTGGAGGCTGAACTTGAAGAGTTGGAAGGTGCTGAATTGGAAGAGCAGCTCCTTCAACCAGCAACTACTGCCCCTGATGCACCAATCCATGTTCCTGCGGGGAGGCAACCTGCTCGGCCCATTCCTCAGAGGCGTACAGCTGAGGAAGATGAACTTGCTGCTTTGCAAGCAGAGATGGCTCTTTGAGCTAGTCCCTCTTTTGTTTTAACCGGTAAGCTGTCCTACCAGTCCATCTGAATATTAGTCAGTATGATTTTCAACTGGTAACTTATTGGTGAAATGAGAGCACCTGTCTTTGAAAGATTTCACCTAAGACATGCAATTGCCCGAGCCTTCTTGGATTTGAATGATTGAGGTCCTCAGTTGCAATTGCATGTAGTGTATCTAGATTTACACTCATTTGTTTGCAATAACTTGGAGGAAAGTGCTTGTCTGCAATCATTTGTTGGTTTATGATGATATTTTTCTTCTGCAGATATTATCACGGGTAGCTTACATATATAGACTGGTTGTACGCATGCATGAGACTACTGCAATTACTTTCACATGCGAGAGACTACTGCAATTGCTTTCACATGCGAGAGACTACTGCAATTGCTTTCACATGCGAGAGACTACTGCAATTGCTTTCACATGCGAGAGATCTATGTCGGTTAGTAGGACTATGTACATAATTGTGTTGCAGAAAATGGTGAATTCCATGAACATCAGAATTTATGGTTCATGCTTAAGTGAATCTTATGTTCACTACGTCCCTTTTTTCTTAAACAAAATTAAGAATCTCCTTTGTAATCTTGTACCATCTCAGAAGGATGATTATATGAAATGTTTTGTCTGCTTCTGCAAATTGGTGATTGAATGGCTGGTGCATGTCGGTAGTTTGTCGTTCTTTTTTATCCAGTCATTGCTTACAAAATCTTGAGCTAAAACCTTGATATGCCTTGATCTTTCCCTGCTCATGCTGTACGCCTTGGTAGTTTAGGTCTGAATGGCAATTGATTTTGGACTAACTTCACGACGTCTGGTTTTGATCTGTGCAGAAGTATATCATATTCTTATTAGTTCATGCCAAAGTATATTTCATTCTTATCTTTTGATGTTTCCTTGTAGCATCGGAACTGAAATGAGCTCTTGATTTATGGTCCGAAAAAATGAGATTTAGTTGTAGGGTGTCTTGTGAGTGATTAAACGAGTCATGTTAGATTATTAGCAATGTAGTGAATGGACTTGCATGCTATTCTGCATAGGGGTGAAAAATAAGCAGTTTGGATTTTACAACTATGAGAATAAGTCACATGCTTGTTGTCAAACCCTCCCTTTCTTCTGAATCAAGAGACCATCTTTAGTCCTTCAGGGAAAGAAGTAGCTTTGTCAGAGGCGGAGCCAGAATTTAAAGTTTATGGGTTCGAAATACTAGTCTTTCTAATCTACTGAGATCTAAATTAATAATTTTTATATTTCAATGAATTTCTTACTACAAATTCAGGTTTGGATCAAAGCTATTGGGTTCAGTTGAACCCGTAGCCGAAAAGCTAGCTCCGCCCCTGGCTTTGTAGGTAACTCTGCTTCTATCCTTTGCTTGTGTGAAGGTTCCAAGTCCATTTTGCTAGGTCCGGTAGCTTATGGTGAGTGTAATCAAGATACTTGAATGGCGCATTTGTAATTTCTCAATTCTTGAGTTCTCGAATAAAGCGTAAATGGTATGACAATTGTTTCTTTGTTTCTTCAGCAATATGTCAGAATTATTTTTGGAGATGTTCTCCTCCCCAGTCCCTGTCCCCAAGTGGTAAAGATAGGTTATGAATGGCCGATTGGCGGGACAAGAGTCTCTGGGGAATGTAAAGTCTCAAGGCATTGGACCCGGTGCGTACTAGAAAGGAGAAGTAAAATTATAGGATTTATGCAATTTAATCGTGAAGTAAACAAATGAAGAATTTCTGCCTTAGAAAGAATACACGAGGATTGATTTGTCGAACAGAATAAATATGAAATCTACAATACCAATCAACTATCAGAAGAAAAAAAAGACCCAAAAAAAAGGACATGGGTACAATAAAGTGCTCAGTGAATCATGTAGGTAATTGCCAAAGCAACCAGCATAAGCACATAGGCTATTCCTTGATCAATTGCAACTCCTGCAATAGTAAATAGATATGCTCAATTTCAAACTGTTAAAACAACTCATTGATAAGCACATATGTCAGATTCGTAAAACTTGTCATTTATCTAAAAATTGAATACAACTCTTCTCTTGTGACAGTTGCGAAGTCGGAAGGGGAAGGGGGGGAGGGGGACTGGAAGGAGGAGAGAGAGAGAACAAAGTCACAAACCGTCGTTTGAAGGGGCAGGGGCTGGCTCAGGGACTTGAGCATTGATAGAAGGAATAGCCAATGCTAGAAGAAAAGCCAAAACTATCATTAAAGAGACTCTTAAGACCTCCATTTTCACCTTCTTTTTTCTTCCTTTTTCTTGAAACAGAGCAGAGACCATGCAGCACACTTTGAGACCCTTTAAATCCTTCTACTAGAACTAGAATGTTGTGCCAACGCTGCCCTAAAAGGTAGTATTTAAAGGAGTCAGAGATGAGAGGGAATCCTTGACTGTCACCTTTTTTGAATTTTAATTAAAGGTATCTCCAATCGGTAGCCACTCTGTCATTCTCTTTGTTCCAAGTTTGTTAAGGACCAAGAGCCGATTTCAGCCGTTGATCATGGCCACGTGTAAGGACAGCAAACGCTGCATGTTCTGACTACAGGCAGTATTGAGCTGTAGAGTATATATTCCATCTGTTTCAATTTATGTGAATCTGTTTGACTGAGCACGAAGTTTAAGAAAAAATAAAAAAAATTAGAATTTGTGGTCCTAAACAAATCAGAAAGGGGTCCAGAGTATTTGTGTGATTATAAAAACTTCTCATTAAGGGTAGAATTAAAAGTTTAAGCGAAATTATTTTCAAATTTAGAAAGGGGTCATTTTTTTTGGAACGGATTAAAAAAAAATAGGTTCACATAAATTGAACGGAGAGATAAAAGAGTAGTAAAATGGTGGACCTCGTACAATGCTTGAAAATTCCTTTTCACTCCCCACATGGAATAAATGATTGGCTGTCAAATATGATTTGTGTCTCTTTCTTTAGTTATTTTCAAATTTCAAAATAGATTCTGTTGCTCCCCAATGCACACATAAATATTCGTGGTCAACACGTAATAAAGTGATAATAAAGAGTATTGAACTCATAGAGACTTGTCGTTAACTGTCTACTATAACGGCCCGCTCGATCGTTTTGAATATTTTAGCCCTCATTCCCTATTTATTGCCTCCTCGATGCTATATTGTGATTATGTGACTTGTCGGGGTATTTGGTTTTGATTTCAGGTGAGTTTCGGAGTAAAATATGACACATCGTCCCTAAGTTGGAGGTTTAATTTGTAAGAGTTGACTGTAGTTTGATTTTATGTAGACGACTCCGGAATGGAGTTTTGACGATTTCAATAGCTCCGTATAGTGATTTTAGACTTAGGAGCGTGTCCGGATATTGATTTAGAGGTCCGTTGGTCGTTTCGGTGTGAATTGACGAAAGTTAGAAGGTTGAAGGTTTGCAAGGTTGGAAAGTTTGATTGGGAGTTGACTTTATTGATATCGGGGTCGGTTCCCGATTTCGGATATTGGAATAGGTCCGTTGTGTTATTTATGACTTGTGTGCAAAATTTGAGGTCAATCAGAGTTGATTTGATAGGTTTCAGCATCGAATATAGAAGTTAGAAGTTCATTTGGCTTGAATCGATGCGCGATTCGTGGCTCTAGTGTTGTTTGACGTGATTTGACGCTTCGAGCGTGTTCGTATGATATTTTAGGACTTGTTGGTATGTTTGGTTGAGGTCCCGGGGGGCTCAGGTGTAATTCAGACCAAACTTGCTTGTGACTCATAACACCTATGAACCTAGAGCTCTGGTACCAACTTGTCACAACTTCAATTTTCCTCCGTAGGATGTCGTGATGACACCTAGTTTCTAAGACTAGGTAAGCCTAACATTTACGCAGAAATAACTGAAATAATAATAAACCCTCAAATACTCAACATCTATATAAAATAAACTCCACTGCTCAACATATACAATTTCCCCAAAATCTAGTGATATCAAGTCACAAGCTCTACAACGGTATCATAGTCATCCATGTACAAGTGTATCTAATAAAAGAAGGAAAATATAGAAATAGATATAAGGTGACTCCGAGGCCTACGGACGTCGGCAAGTGTACCTTGAAGTCTCCAAATATAAACTCAGCTCACTGATGCCGGGACTGGTAGGAGGTACCTGGATCTGCAGAAAAATATATGCAGAAGCATAGCATGAGTACACCATAATGATACCCAGTAAGTGCCAAGCCTAACCTCGGTAGAGTAGTGGCTAGGTCAGGTCAAGCCCTTACTGGAATAAATAGGAAAAGAAATTGTACAATTGTATGGCAGTATAGAAATGATAGTAATGAAATTGAAACAACAATAGCATGTCAAGTTTAGCTACACGGAACTAATGAAATTGATGCAATATGGAGAAAACAAGAAATGATGTGCTAAGGAAACAAAGCAGCTAAAGACAAGTGCAGCAATAGAGAAGTGCCAACAAAAGTCACTACCGAGGTACCGCCTCGTAGTCTCAAGAATAATTCACAGTCTTTCCTTATATCACCGCGGGAGCCTTGCATTTAGTTTTGAAAATCATTTTTTCCCGAAATAGTATTCCGCGTTTTAGCCCACCTTATCACACCGCATGGCATCTAGTAGTTCCCCTAGTAGCCATGCGTATCAAGCTCACCTTATTTCACCGCATGCGTTTTAACCCCAAAACCTTATACCACCGCATGCGTATCAATATTATAACGTATCACAAATCGCATCGCAAGTGCCCAATATCTCCACTTGCCAAACAAATCAAAAATAACAGTATTTGCACAATAAGGAGTCCACGGCTCAACCACAATGTACACAAAGTCTCGACAATAACAACCGGAAGTGAATAACTCAACATAATAGTATTTCATAACTTAACACTTTGCCTCAATGTGAATCATGACCTTTATAACTCAATACCAATTTCAACAACAAAATATTCCAAGAATGGCAACTTCAAGTAAGGAATTCAATGGTTAAATAATGAATAAGGAATAAAGGAAACAAGAACTTCAATTAAACACGTAGAGCAATTAGCAAGTAAGAGATAGGACAAGTAGCACATGTGAAAATAGACCAATGGTGACGAATATATCATGATAAGATACCTCAATTAAGGCATGAAAGGAATCTACATAGCTAAAATCGGTAATTTTCACATTTAGCCCGTGCACACACCCGTTACCTTGCGTACACGACTTTCACACATCACAGTTATCGAAAACAACACAAATCCTAAGGGGTAATTCCCCCACACAAAGTTAGGCAAGACACTTACCTCAAAACACGCTAACTCAATCCACTAGTAGGCCTTTCGCTCGATTTTCCAACTCCGAATGGCTCGAATCTAGCCAAAACAACTTCGTACCATAAATATAAACTATAGGAAACTAATTTGAATAATAAAATTACGATCTTTACAAAAAAATAAAAAGTCAACCAGGGCCCGCGTCTTGGAACCCGACCAACCATACAAGAATTACTCAAATTCGACCTCAAATCGCCTTTCAAAACTCAAAAATTTAGTCTAGCAAGTTTTTAACCATTTTCCCCCAAATTTCCAACTCAAATCCCTAAATGATGAAAATAGTAATTGATTCATGAAATATAGTCCAATCCATGTTAGAATCACTTACTCCAACAATACCCTTGAAAAACCCTTGAAAAATCGCCTCACACCAAGCTCT